GTGGTTAAAACAGGAAAACATTTCATTTCCCTATGTGTTAGGGAATTTACTTTGAAAAACAAACTTTTGATAAAAAGCAAAGCTGTGAATGTCCAGTTCTTTGGTCCTTTCCTTACCTCTCCTGGTGTTAATTGGGCCTCCCCTCATGGCCAAGACCAGTTTCAAAGTGCAGCCCTCTGCAATACTGCAAAAACAAACACACTGATGAGCAATAAAAGAAGAACACGTGGAGAGTATTGTAAAGCATTCCACGCAGTGTATGTAATTGTAATGGGAGAGAGGGAAATAACAGCAGGTAGCAATACAAAGTTTACAGCAGTCAAAGCGTCGGCATGATGTCCAGATGAACTTAAGTGCACGACTGGTAAATCCACTGGAACAGTTGTTCCCGATGAGCAGATGTTTCATTGCCTACTGGACCTTTCCGCTTCGAAAACTCCATGTTGCAGCTTGATGGGCGAGTCTAGCTAGATCTCACTAGAGGCCGCTCACGTGGAAAATTAAGTGACAAGCACCCAGAACAATATCAGCATATGCAGCCAGCAGAGCACCGGAGGGGGAGGGCTGCACCTCATAAACTGACAAGAGTGGAGGGGCAAGCTCCCTCGATATGACCAGCGTGTCTCCGTGCTCATCCGCCTCTACATCTCTGGCTCATTTACAACACGTTGAACCGAGTCACCAACATAAGCCGAAAGGCTTTTGAGGTGCACATGAGAATGAGTCTTAATGTAGGCGTGGAGAATTCAAACATATTGCTCGCAATGCATCTTAAGAAGCCAGTTGTCCGTGCTCTGCAGGAGTAGATTTACCCGTAGTCGTGTAGACAGTGTTCATCATCCAGCTCCAGGTTGTTCCAGATAAGGTGTTGCTGGGCAACAGGGATACCTTTACGGACAGAGTAGAATACAGAAAACAAGCAAAGTTGACAAGGAGACAAGGACCGGTTCATATTTCATAGCCTGAGTTCACACACATGACAGATTGGAATGCTGCCAACAGAAGCATCCACACCACACTAAAGACGATTCATGTCTGCCCTCTAAAGACACAACGATGTCACTGCTGGAAAATGACTGAAGCATTAATAATTAATTGATTTTACTTGTTGATGTGCTACAGTGTTACCATAAAGACAGCTTATCCTGCAGCTGAAGCTGTTAAATACATGAGGTTGGTTAGACTACTATACGTCTACAGCGTATCTAATATTATTGCAAATTAGACCAAAAATAATAAGACTCCAGTTGAGGGATGACAGCCAATGCTCAGTAGAGCCACTCCTCGTAATGAGATGGAGTGTATTCACAGTCAGGAAGCTCTCTGTGCCCACGAAGTGAACTCGCCGACCCGACGCTGGAGGTGAGCCAGCGTTAGTGAGGGAGCAGTGCTCTCCATCACAAACGCAGTCTGCTGGGCTGACACACACCTCCTCACAGACGGAGCACAGAGAGTCCTTTCTTACCAAAAACTGAAAACAGAAGCAAAGAATGTAGATATGAAAGGTCATCATCTAATAATAAAAAACAAAAAAACAACCTCACAGGACAGCCAAGATGAAAATGAATGAATAAATGAAAACTAATGGATAATTCATTCAGATGAACTTGGACTTTAAACAACAGTTTTCTTCCTATCAACAGCTCTGATCCTGCATGCCTACTGATGAAGTGGAAAGCACAAACAATATAAAACTTTTAGAAGATACAAAACTGAATCCCCAGAGCAGTTACACAGAGAGCAACACAGCTCACGAGACAGAATGATCAAACAAACAACTCCTCATATTCCTGGTCTACTAAATAACTGATAGTTTGCTGGCTCAATCAGTGCAATATCCTGACTTATAAAGCATGTACACTATTCCTCTAACAGCAGAATAAAACATCCAAACTACACTTTTGTGTGCTGTGTACCTTCCAGCCTCTGGATCTTTGCCTTGACTGAAATGACCGCCTCAAAGGGCAACACGCGCAGCTCAAAACAGGTCCCAGTGAGGGTCTCTATGAAGAGCTCCATAGTGTCATAGAAAGGGAGCTTATAGTGAAAAGCTCCCACGCTGTCATCGTTAAAGAAGGGCGGCTCCTTCCTGTCGGTCATCTTGGCGGGTTGGGGCGAGAGACTCTGGGTAGATTTGGTTAAATGGGAGGACTGGCCCAAGATGAAGGAGAGGGGGACAGGCACAGCTCACAACCGCCACACATCATGCAGGACGACCACAGCTGTGAGGGGAAACAAACGCATGGTAGGATTATCAGAACGTTTTAAAAAGGTTTGACTGGTTTAAACATTCCCTGCAATCAAGCGTCGTAAACATTCCGTATGTGAATCCCACAGGTCGAGAACGTATTTATCATGGTCTATAAACTGAAATTGGACATTTGCAAATCTGCTTAGTATTCACATAGCATTCAAAACCTAATCTGTGATAGCTGAGTCATTTCTGATTGCACGCTTTTGACAGACTTTTTAGTCAATCTGTGTGTCAACTGCATTTTTTAGGCAGGCAAATATATTTTTGGGTGGATGTAAATCTATTTGGGTGATCCGCACAAATACAGTATATGGTAAACGCTGCATGACTCAGGGATATACACATCATGAATAACATAACAATTGAGTAATGCACCTGATGAGGTAGTGTTGTTGGTAACACAGACCAGGTAGACCAGTGGAAACAGACAAAAACATGCCCATGTGTGTAATAAAATCATGACTGAATCAGACAAAAGACTGAAACTGTGCAGTTATTTTAGAACAACGGCCTGTATCAGTGGCAGCAGACATGTGCAACCTTCTCATAAAAGATGTAGTGCAGCAGTTAAGTCTCTGGCCAAAACTCAAGGGGATCAGGTGTGTTACATAAGCCCATCAGAGGTATGAAGTGTCCTGTGCCTGAAGGCAGCCTCTGACAGATCACATCTTGTGTCATTTGACTCAGCGTCTTACAAAATGTCATCTGTACGAGAGGCGGGTTAGTCCAATCTGTTAGTCTTTATTTAATCTATAAAGAGAGGAGCTTTAGTTTACTGTGGTTTATATGTGTATGCCCTTCTACAGTCAGTTACAAGCAGGAACAACAGAAGTGTACAGGTTTTAAGTTTCTCTCCTTGGAACCCAGAATAATATATGGTAATATGTTATCTGGTCCCTTTGTGTTTTGGAGCTACAGTTGACCACGAGCTGCTGTCCAGAGCACCTATTACACACAGACCTTTAAATTAAGATCTTTCCACTTTACTGGGGCCTGACAGGAGCTCAGGTAACCAGTCGTGCCCACACAGGTGAGTAACACTAAAGATGAACTGTGTCGCTGTACGGCTCGATAGCATACGAGGCCTGAGGTGTATCCATTCAGAGTCAACAGGCCATTGTCTAAAGAAACGCTGAGGTTGTCATGTTACAGGGAACGCTATAACGTCATGCAGATGTAACGTTGACCAACGTTTGTTGACTGTACCACCACAGTAAAACCAAAAAAAACACACCAGATAAACTAGGTCAACGTTAGCTGCCTGAGATGAATGGAGCTGAAACTCGCCTCAATACAACTCCAGCGGCTAACGTTAGCAAAGAAAAGGTCACACAAGTCATATTTATACCGACCAGTTTTCACAAGGCAGTTTAAATCCCTGGTTACCGTCAGTGTTATATTATTAAAACCTGCTGAGTAGTATCTTATGCAGTAAACACGGTGGTAAAACCCGTCTATCCGACGCTACTTGTGTTAGCTTTCGTTGCCATGTTAGCCAACAACTCAAACAATGGCAAACCTTTCTCAGTGGTGAGCTAGCAGGATGCTAGGCTACATCTGTCGGCTCCGGTCCTCCGCAGCAGTCCGGTGTAACGTTAGCTGTCGACGGTAACGTTGCAGCACTTCATCACGGTCACCCTAAATACTGCACACGGGACGAAGTAGACGGTCGACCGTTGTCGGTAGTCGTGGTCGGCGACATCGTCGTACCTGTCAAAAAGCGGTCGAACAACACCTTTGTGATTTCATTTGATTGACAGACGAAGGAACCAATCGGCGCCACGGGTGATGTAGTGGGCGGGACAACAAGTTGTCCAATTGTTGACACGTGGGGTCAAAGGCGGACACTTTCACATCCTCTTAAATTTGGAATCAAATTGTGAGAAAATTCATATTTTTCTGCCACAGTAGCCGTTATAGTTATAATCGGCAATTATTACAGGCTTTAACCCCCCACCCCCACCATTAGTACAACTCACCGTACATCAGTTAATATTAAACTTTTGGCCGCTGATTGACTTTCTTAATCTTCATCAAGAAATGAATAGTGAATGTTAAAACACTTAAAATACACCATTAAAAATATCTTTAAAAGCAAAGTTGAACCATTTCTAATATGTCTGTTTTAAAAAGATGCCAATGTGTAGCCCCATGCCAGCAGAGGTCTCAGTCCTATACACAAGACAAAAAGGCTGTGAATGCCAGTTTAAGGCACAAACAGATACAAGAAATTCAAAGTATGCATTTATAGTTTTTGAAGCTTGTACTTATTAACCTTCCCTACTGTGAGGGGTTTCTCTTTCAATGCCAATAAGCTTAAATTGTTCATTTTTTCTTTATTAATACTGGCCTATAGGCAAAATAACAAAACCTCAATCATCCAAAAACTAAACAGAAATAGTGTAATAATTACAGATCTAATGTTTCCTTTCTCCAGGATGGGCTCCCTGCTCACATCAGACACTAATCATCAGATGATCTAAGACATCAGGACAAGTGAATAATCACACTCATTTCAGATAGCATAAAATATGTTTCTTTTTAGTTATTAAAAATGAATTTCCTTTCTCATCACAGCCAAAGTTAAGAAATTGGTGAATTTCTTATTAATAAAATCATTGTCAAAATGCCGAAGACAGTAAGTAAACAAATTGATTTCTCATAACCATGATATGGCACAAATCAAAAGACATGGAATCTCAACATGGAAAAGCAAAAGGATAAACATCTTCAAAACAAACAAAACAAGTTGCTGTTAATTTCTGCAGGCTTTGAGGCGAAGCATATGAGATGCTTATAAAGTGCTAATATGTATAATAAAGATTAACAGTACGTAATAACTGTTACATAATATGATCTGATACCGAGATGATTTTGGAAGTGCTGCCAGAAGATGCTTGGAATAGTTTTCATTCGAAAATCTTTATCTGCCAAAAATAAGCCCCAGTATTTATAAGATTTCAGATGAATAAATACTCTATCAACAGTGTATCCGATCTCCAATCTTTCAGCGATCCAAATGACAAAAAGATGAATCCGCAGTTGTACAAATCTTGCTACTCAGAAACAACAAGTTCAGTTCCCACCGAGAGCATTAAGTGGATCGTCAAATATGTTGCTTGAATCCGCCGCTGTGCTGGTCTCCTGAGAGAGTGGTGCTTTCTTTGATTTCTGGGGGGCCTTCGTGACTGGTTTTACTGTGCTTGGTGAAAAGATGTCATCTTTAAAGAACAAAGAGATGGACAAAATATCTGGTTAAATATGTCGATAAAAAGAAAAAGAAAGGTAGACCACAAGACAGACAGCTCTAAAAAACATGAATGCCTGTCATGCTTACCCATGTCGTCATCAAATATTGACTTGGTCTCTCCCTTCGTCTTGGACTTCTGTTTTGGTTTTAAAGTGTCCGTCAGGTCAGCAAAAATGTCTATGTTGTCATCGAACAAGCTGGCATCGAGGGTCTTCTCCTTGTGCTTCTTGTGGACTTTAGGCACGGTGGAAACTTCATCCTGAGGACAGAAATTCAGCAGATAAGGAAAGACATGAAACGTATTGTTATGACGGCACAGAAAACCTCGGCAGTATCACCATCAATGTAAAATAGAGATACCTGGAAGATGTCCTGCTTTGAGGCACTACTGCTGTTCTTGGGTTCTGTTCTTGTGGAGCTGTTGCTCAGTCCAAAGATGTCCTCATCGTCATCATCTTCCTCCAAAAAGGCCGTGGCTTTTTTTGTTGTTGACCGTGGTTTGACTTTTTGGAAAAGGTCGCCCGTGTTGGCATCAAAAATGGATGGGAGAGTGCTTTTATCTTTGTCATTCTTCAATCCCGCCCCACTACTGGCCTGAGGTTGTGTAGTCTTGGTAGTCTGTCTGGTGGAGGGTGCGTTAGTGACTGAGGAGGCCCCGAACAGACCGTCAGAGCCAAAAAGGTCCTCCTCATGATCAGACGGAAGCACCTTGGTACTGCTGCTGTCTTTACTGGCGTCTCTCTTTCCAGTGTTTTTGGATACTGGCAGTTTCAGTACCGGCGGTCTAGGGGAGACTTCAGAGAGAGATGATTGAGAAGGTGAGGAGGCAGGCAGGGCAGCGGGTTCAGCCGAGTTAGGTAAGATCGGACTGGCACGCGTCTGGCTGGACTTTTCTGGTGGAGGCGGGGCTAAACCAGACAGACTCGGATTGGTCCCAGGAACGTCTTTAACATTTGAAGAACTTTGGGCTGCTTGCTGCCTCGCTGTTCTGGACTGGGGTCTCCTTTGTACAGAACCTTTGGCACGACTCTGCATGACAGAAGATGTGAGCTCACAATATCAAAGTCAAAACAACGGAAAAGCAACTAAAAGACTATTAGATAGCAGATTTAATTCTCCAGGGATCAAAAACCCACCTTGTGCGCGCTCTGCAGTGTTGTAACCTGAAGTGGGGTGTCGAAGTTCACTGGAGCTCCCTGAAGGTCCGGCTGGGCTCCTATAGGAGTTGTAGCAGGGCTGGGGCTCAGGCTGGACCCCCCAGAGGAGGAGCTAGGAGCCATGCCAGGGAGTGCACTGGGGATAGCACCAGGGAGCAGCGCAGCGGGGTTGATCATCAGATTGGCCTGAATATGACAAGTTCAGACACACCAATGCAATCATTTGTCAACGTGAAAAAAGACACAATGGACCCTTTACAGCGACCTAAGACTATTTAAACAGACTTTCCACCCAAGTACACATTTACAACTGCTCTCTTTTCATGAAGTTTATAAGCGTGGTTCAGAACAGAAGATCATTCGAAGGGAAATGGAAAACATAGGACTGTGGATGGAAATGAAGAAAGAGGAAGATGCAATAACATCTTGTGAAACTGAAAGAAAGAGCAAATTCTTCCAGCTTAGCAAAATGAAATCAAAACAGATAATTATATTAATTCTGGTCGTCATGCTGCTGTATCGTAGCCAAGCTTTTAAGTTGGAATATGAAAAAGCCCAAACAGAAGACACCTTTGAAGAGAAATCGTGTCAGAGAAAATAGAAAAGAGACTTTTCTCTGGAGGAATCAGAGTGAAATGTCAAGAATGAAGACTTTTGATTCAATAAAAATAAAGATATTACTTGAAGTTTCCCAATCCTTGATGAGGAATCTTTAGGTTTTACAGGGCTTGGTGCAGGTTTCTGTGTGGTCAGATTACAGCAGTTTCAGCATTTAATCCAATGAAGGCAGTTCTTGTTTTTCATCTAGAAGCAACACCGTGCGTCTATCACAACATATCAAAAAGTATTTTTTTAAGAAAAACATCTAATATAGGCAAAAATAAACCCTGTATCAAAACCGCATGGACACACGGTAATGTGTGTTTATGGCTCAAAGAAAAACAACAGTCCATCCTATTATTGGAGTAAACGCTGACGGTAGACTCACCTGAGTCTCGGATACAGATTCTGGACTTGCTAGTGGCGCTCTGTCATTAGGTTTACTGGGCTTCTCTGCTACTTTCTGAGAACAAAAATGAAAGAAAGTTCTCCCGCTGACATACATTTTGTGATTCAGCCAAATGGCTATTCATACAGCTGGTGTAATATGCAATGTCAGGGCAGCAGGAATCCAGCATCATTCTAAATCACTACAAAGTAATCAAATTGCTACCGGAGGAGGAGCTTTGGACTTGATGGAGCTGAAGAGGTCGTCCTCATCCTCTTCTGCAAACAGACTTTGTGTTGCCGGCTTCACTGAGCTGACTTTGGAGCTCTGGAAAGTAAACAGTCATGTATCCTAACCATCTTGTGAAAGACATCTGGTCGTTGGAATGTTATAATTCTAATGATACTGCAATGTTAATATCAAATTAACTAAACTAAACATTTTGACACAGTGTGCAGTTGAGTTAAAGATTGCAAACAAACAAACGGATGAGAATGTGTAATATACTGACAGCAGCTTTCCCTGAAGAGGCAAACAGATCGACATCTGGGTCATTGTCCTTCTGCTGCGTCTGACTGAACAGCAGCTCCTCGTCCTGGAACACACCTGTGCTTGTCGCCTGTGGTCGCTCCTCCGTAGGCTGAAAATAAAGACACACATTTTATACCTTGCCTGCATGAGAAACAGCACCTGAACCACTCGTTCACACTCTTCTTAGATCTACTGTATAGTCACACAAACCTTTAGTGTGCTGCTTGCTGTGGGTTTACTGGGTGTGAATATCGGATCATTCCAATCCGATTCATCTTCCTCTTCATCATCGAACAGACTAACGGCGTTTGTTTTGACTTTCTCTTCCGTCTTGCCATTGGGCGGTGGGCTGTCCTTAGAGAGGAGGCTGTCATCGTTGTCAACTCCATCCAACGGGCTCTTCGTCTGCATGTTGGCGAGAACGTTGATGCCTCCAAAAAGACTGACTGCTCCGGCAGGCTTCTTTTTACTCTTGCTGATCTCTGGCGAGGGCGCTGATGGGATCTCAGGGGTCTCCGGTGCAGACTTCTCCTGCTCTGAAGGCTTGTCCTGTGTCCTAGAAACTACAACCTCCTCCGATTCCTCCAACATGGAGGACGACCGAGAGGCCACAGCCGGTGTCTGAAGAATACAGGTATTGTATCATAATTTAATCTCAGTGTGGGAGATAATGCAAATGACACGGTGCGAAAAAGTATTAGAGAAGAAAGGTTTAAATATCACTGTTTTTGGGGAAACTCATAGAGCCAACTTTTCTAATGTGGCTCTATGAGGATCTAAATGTTGCTCTAGGGAATGAGTCAATTGTTTCACCCCTTAAGCCTGTTAAACCTTTTTAAAGTCCGCTGGAGGCAAGCTACAAAACAAGACTACTTTTACGGGACAAAGTTAGCGCACTCACTTTAGCAGCCGAGGCTGCGGTGTTTGTGTTGACAGCAGGCTTGATGCCAGAGAGGGATCCTTTATCTTCATCACCCTCATCTTCAAACAAGAGAGCGACTCTCTGAGGTTTCTTCTGACTATGTGAAGAGCAACAGAATGAGAGGACGGGTCAGAATTCAGAGCAATACAATACTTAAAAAAAAAAAAAAAACTATGGTTAAAGTGATTTTAATACAATTGTAAAAGTGTGTGCATACCTCGACTCTGTCGTTGGAGTAAACAGGTCATCATCGTCATTATCAAAGAGGCTGCTTTTGTGAGACATTTTGGCACTGGTGAGACTGGAGGGGGCACTGGTACTGGGCTTCATCCCTCCTGTCGTTACCTCTGGCTTCCCCGCGCTACTTATAGAACTCACCCACTGGTCCTGTCATTCAAATGTTCGGCAAAACAATGGACCACATTGTAGGCACCGATACATATTGGCATTCAGCAGTAAATATGACTTTTTTTTGTCTTCCTCATACCTCATCATCACTGAAGAGGGAGCTGGACACAGCTCCACTGAGCTGCGGTGTGGAGGCTTTAGCTTGACTAGGTTTTGCTTTAGACTTAGCTGCAGATGCAAACAGGTCCTGCAAGGTGAAGAACCACATCATTGCTCACAGTACTCGCAGCAAAAGCATAAGCTAATTCAGTTTTGTCCAAATCTTTGGAATATTAGTTTCTATTCTCACCTCTTCTTCCTCATCATCAAACAATGACAAAGGGGCCTTGCTGGTTTTGCCCTGGCTTGTAAGCTCAGGCTTAGACTGGCTCTTAGTGATAGCTGGAGATCCCTATGGAAGACAAACACATATATAGTGTAATTCAATGTTTTATTGCTGTTATCACTTTTTTCTAGTGAAATTTGAGAGCCGTACCTGTGTGTCTTCATCATCAGAGAAGAGGCCTCTCGTCTGGGGTTTCGGAGTCTGCTTGACAGCAGCCTTAGCAGCATCTGGAGCCGGCCCATTCTGAAACGCATAACGTGAAGATGACAATTTCATATCAATAGTTTTCTAAATTATAACTTTTACAAACATGAGGTTTAGTCTTGAAAGGAAATACTGGTACTGAGCAAAGAGAACTGAACCGTATCAACAAGAGTAAAGGCCAGCAGTGCACTCTAAACTAAATCAGATGTGGCCTTTTCTCAGACTGCACTTGAATATGGTGCTTATAGCAAACATCAATATACTGACTGCAACTAGGTCTGTTCATTTCAAGGCACCCAGGCCTGATAAAATAGCTTGTGAGTCAATGTAGAGAGGACCTCAAAGCTAAATGTGAACGTACTGTTAAACTAAAACGGAAAATACACTGTGGCCTACAACCAGTTGATGGTGTATTAGGAGGCAGTGGAAAAAAAACTGGCATTTTGCTTGTGAACACACAACAAAATTGGATTTGGTCCAGAGTATATTGTTAGACAATATTCAGACCTCCAGAGATTTTTCAGACTCTTCGCTGGTAGACGGCCGACGCTTCTTCAGGCCCTCATTGAGCAAGCTTTGAGTCCCGGGTCCAAACATAGAGATGGCCCCTGCTGGCATCTAAACACAACAATGAATCATTAACATAGGAACTCTTCCACAGGCCACAAAAACACAATTCAGATCTACCAACGACAATATGTAATCCATCAAACTATCATAATGTCATGTTCAACTGCATTGAGATACTTGAACGGTGATTTTTACCTTTTTCGCAGGTGGTTTAACCTGCTCTTCCACTACCTCCTTCTTGCTCTGCGCTGGAGCTGGAGCACTGTACTTCTCACTGAATATGTCACCATCGCCATCGTCTTCATCGAAAAGGTCAACAGCTTTCTTGGGCTTCTTGTGTCCAGCTGAATAAAAAGAGGGAAACATAACCAACACAGGGGGGTTTGAGGGGGAGGATCCCACCTGAACCTGGACTGTAGCACTGAAGGTCCCGTTCTCTCACGCACTTACCAGAGTCAGACTTCGTCAGGCTTTTACCACTGAAGAAGTCATCATCCTCATCCTCTTCATCAAACAGCCCACCTCCTCCTTCACCAAAACCAGCTCCCGCAGGAACCTGCTTGGAGGCAGCATTGGTCTTAGGAACCGGAGTGCCATTCTCCTTGCTCTCCACTGAATCAGAGCCAATCCTTGGACTGAACAGGCTGTTATCTGTGGAGAGACAGTCGTTTGGTTGAGGACGATGAAGCAGACAAAAACCAAGATATCGGCCGTCATACAAGTTAATGCTTCTACCTGGGAATATTGAAACGGCACCTGCGGGAATCTTCTTTGCAGATTTGTCCGATTCTTGAATGGAGAAGAAAAAGGTGTGTGTTAATCTGCAAGTCCAGTTTTTTTCGCTATGTTTGGACAGATCTTAGTTTTGAAAACCTAAGGTCCTACCTGCAGTTCGAGATGTGCTTTTCATGCTTTCATTCAGCACCCTTTTGTCCTCGGACACAGGAGGCTTTGGAGCCTCGGAGAAAAGATCCCCCTGAATGACATAACACAATACAGCACAAGTCACATTCTGGCTACGTCCAGAGTTTACAGGACTGAATAAGAGGGAGCACTAAAATTATCATTGAGCTTAATATACCTCATCATCGTCAAACAGGCCTTTCCCTCCACTGAAGAGGCCGCTTTTCCCCCCAAATGGGGAGAAGTCATCATCGTCCATCTTCGGTGGCTTAAACATGTCATCACTGTCCTCTTCGGCTGCTGTTACAATGTACACAAACAGTATTGAGGAGCGTACTGAGAACAATGGGCCTGCTGTGTAAATAACTCATGCAAAAATTAAACAAATAGTTTTGAATTGTTCTGATGATGGATGAAAGTCCTACCCTGTGGCTTTGAAGGTTTTGGTTCTTTCCTGCTTTTACTTTTCTTCTTAGATGACAATGCTTCAAAGACATGACATGGTAGACACACAGAACCATGAGCATGCACATGCAACAAAGTCATAACTTAAATCTCAAATATAGACTTTGACGCTGTGTTTTCCTTAAAGTAAATGTGAAAAGTGAGAGTAACAAAAAGGGAGATGACGTAATGCCAGTTGGGTGATAATGACTGTGACTTACATGCGCGATCTCCTTCTAGTTTGTGAACTGGTTCGCCTTTGATTCGGGCGGCCAGCTCATCAGCAAAAGACGATGGGCCAGTGTTCTGAATATGACATAATAAAAACAAACAAACTGAGAACCTGAAGCTCACATATGAATGATTTCAGACTGAAATTACAAAACTCATTCACAAAACATAAGTCTTCAGTATTATAAGAGGCATACCTTTGTGCTGTCGTCGTCGTCGTCATCGTCATCATCATCCCTGTCCGATTCTCCAAATATGTCCGAATCCTCATCCTCCTCCTCTTCATCACCTTCCTCATAACTCAACATGGATGACTTCTAAGTGAGTGCGGGAAGAGAATCCAAAAATGATTGAGTTGTTCAGCTTGAATGTAATCTTTTATGTGTTTTAGCAGGCGTGCAGCCGAACTTACCTTCCTAATATTATTGTGACCTTCGTCCTCCTCCTGATTAAAGTCATCATCTGAATGCTGTTGAGTGAATAAATAAATGTTTACATTTAAGTGTCTTTACCTGCACAATATGCAAAATGAGTAACCTTGAAAAACACTGTGAAAAGAAAAGGAAAAAGTCTTACAACGGCTTCTTTGCCATCTTCGCTCTCAATCACACTGTCTCTGTCACTGTCAACGGACATTTCTGGAAAGAGAATCACGCAAATACATGAGGGAAAAAATAAACAGTATGATATCGGAGCGCCTGAAGAAGCTGCCGTGAGAATATTACCATCACTGGAGAGGTCACCAAGTCCAACGTCCTCTTGTTCCATGAAGGCCTGGGAACCGATCAGATATGGAAGTGGTCTGTCCACATAAAGATCCTAAAAGACGAGTCCGAAGACAGACACACAGGATCAATAACATTCATGTAAAGGTGAATGTTCACATGCATTGCTGCAGTAATCGAGAATTAGAACGCACCTTGGGCTCCAGGATGGCCTCCACTCTGTCTGTGACCTCCTCATCCTCTGAATCAGAGTTCCCCGCTTTGATGTCCAGATGCTCAAAGGCTGACTCCAGCACTCTCAGGCCATGGTTCACTGCTTCCTGCATCTTAGGGATCAGCGCTGCCTCTTTCTGCTCTCGAGTTTTCTCCTTTCGGGAAAAGAAAAGGACTTTCACAGGGTGATACGAGACTTGTGGATAATGTGACATACCGTGGCCATATTGGTCGGTGTTGTGCTCCATGACATTACGCCCAGGAAGGATGAATTCTTTATACCTGCTCAGGCTGCTTGTCCAAAGCATCAGCCTTGGGAATAGTCTCTTCTACCTCTTCATCATACACTCTCTGTAACAGGACACAAAGTCATGTTTTTTATTACCAGATACGATTACATCATGTAATCGGCAACATTTTAGTTCCAAAAGTAGCCAAACAAGTAGAGTGAATTGTCACAGTTAAAGTATAACAAGCAATACTGAAGCAGAGACAAAACGTTTGAATTGTGTACGTTACATTTTCTATAAACTGTGTATTGGAAAGCATGAGGAAGTCGTTAAAGACAGAGTTCAAGCAGCTATCTGTGGCCTTGGTGTCACGGATCAGACTGTCCAACTGCTTTTCAATATCATGCGTCTTCGACAGCATTCTCTGGGAGAAGTCTTGGAGGAACAGGAAGAGCTGTGAAGGCAAAAACAAAATAAACTGTTGTGGAGACATTTGCAGATTTCCTTTCATTTTCGGACTATTTGAGATGATGGTGCATTGTTTGGCTTATTTGGAAGCTGGGAACAAAGTTTCTGACTTACTCCTGAGTCAGCTGCCAAGGACCAGTTGGCACTGCTCTGCCGCATCTCTTCAAGAGTCCAGGGTCTCTCCCAAACTTGAGCATCTGTCCCCAGGTGATCACTCCTGCTTGGGCCATTTGCTAATCCCTCTGGCAACCCGCTCATCTGCAACCAGATCACTCAAATAAATATTCAGATTTTTAAAACACCTGTCATTAATGAATTATTCCAGGAAAAAGGAAATTCTTCTTCTTGTGTAACAACATGGCTCACATATCTGCTTTATTTCAATTTGATTCAATTTGTCTATGATTAGAATGATTTGTCTATGATTAGTCTCTGCCTGATGTAAACAGCTGATAGACTGAATACAAAAGGTTGTTGGAGCAAATAAATATCAACTTTAAATGGCAACAACAAGCTGTCTTTTGCACATTTAAAACAATATGGCTCAAGCCCAAACCATAAGCTGTAGTGATGATATTATCTAGAAATAAGTTACGGAGCTGCTCCGTATAGTCAATGAAGATTGGTACAACTCCTGTTGCAGTACAGATAGTGATATCACTGCAATATATGAACTATTTTTAATGGATCCCCTTCAGTAACTTCCTCCAAAAAGGATTCCAAAACTTGTTTTTTCTTTCATATTACTGACAACCTGTATTTAGCTCCAACATAACAAGTACATTAGTTAATAGAGAAAGTAAACTGTGTGACAGGACTGGCATTCCTCCAGAGAGAGGCCACATAAATCATACTGCCTCCAACCAACTAAACAAAATATATTTTCTTGATTCAATGTCAACAGAACAAGTCCAAAAACTGATGACACAGTGCGTTCACAGTGTTGATGCCCTGATGTCCTGCTCATTTGCAGGTCCGTGTTGGTTTAAAGAGTTACTGAAATACCACACAACACATTCCGCATTAGCTAACTCGTAACGTTATCTTTCCTTTAACTAATGTAGTTTAACTGCTACACTTTCCGACACAACAAAGTAGCTTCGGCGTTAGCAACACAACACGTTTACAAATTAGCGGAGAATGACAGTGTTGCGTCAATAAAGAGACGTCTTAATGTTACTTCCTCCTGCGAGCTTTCACATACTTGCAGTCTTCTGTAAGAGAGAGCGGGGACTGTTTGGTTAGCAGCTAGTCAAACTTAGCTAGCCAACACCACCGTTAGCTGTGAGCTGCTCCAGGCGACACGATAGTTACACATCTACCCCGAATATGAGCGCTTTTGTGCCTACCTTGAATAACTCCGGTCCACTGCTGTCCACGAGGGTCAACTGTGGTCAAAAACGACGTAAAAAAACGAGATCGATTATGCTAAATGTGGCCTCTTTCCCTCATTGGTCTTCTGACAGGTCGGCCATGTTCTGTCTGCAGACAGTCACCTGACTAGCGTCGCATAGCAACCCGTTGAAAAGTGGGGCGGAGTAGAACCAACCAAGGAGACGAGGAGGAAAGGAGGCAAGGAGGCGAAGATACCTTTGACTCATCACTCATACCTGCAATAACAGCGTGAACTACCAGACATTGGAATAACATGTGATACTGTTGAAAACGATGTACTCTTCTTTGTGGGGTTCATCAATGGTGATAAATAAACTTAATATGTGGATGGAGTATTTGTTTAATCAGTAGTTTTTAACCTGTCAAGATGTGACTCATACATTGTATCTTACTAAATGAATTTAATTATTACAGAGATAAATCAAACGTACTTTTTAAATGTATACGCTGTTGCTTCTCACTGAATCCTCCTCCTGTTTGCATCAGATATAGAAAGCCACATTATCAACCCACAAGCCGACTGGAACTAAAGTGACATAATGACTGAATATGGGAATTTAGACCGCAGTGATATCTGGAGTCTGTCTCAATGTGCCTTTACCCAAAGTAGGACTACAACATCATCACTTTAACACCAATCAGGACCGACACAGATCAAATTCTGTGGTGCTTTCTGACTTCTGTGATTTGCAAGTTGCAGATCTATCACAGATAAGTTAGCTGTTTATAGTAGTTCGACTCTTACGAATGTATTAATATTAATAACATTGGAGGGAGTAGACTGCATTGTGCGCGACATTTTTTTAAAAAAAGGCAACAAAGAATTTAACAAATTCAACGTTTGTTATGTAAACAGTTTATTTTCGTTATTTCGCAACAGCTATAAAAAAGTATCAATCATTAAAAAAATATTTTTCACAAAAGGGGAATTTAACAAAGTGCACACACATCCAAAAAAACAGCAACATTATAACATGAAATCAACAAACAATATGTGCATCTGGACCATATTTATATTTTGACATTTTGTCACAGTAAGAAAAGCACAGGTGTAAATATTAAAATGAATTATGGCTGAATTCCGTTCAGGTCCTTCAAGTTCAGTCACACCGTTTCTTACCGGGACATTTGAAAAGAACAGAGCGGTTGTTATTGGTAATGTCCGTGTCTTCTCTACAATGACCAGACTACTACAGTTACTGTCGGTACCAAAACAATAGCGGCTGAGAAACCCTAATAATCAAGTAGGTCACACGTTTCCACTCATGTACATACGGTACGTGAGCTTTTCGGTGACACAAGAGTTACACAGCAAGGAATTACTTAAACGCAACAAATGAACACAGCTGAAACACAACAAGGATGTAAAAGAAAACCCCTGGTTGTTGCAGGCACTCTACTGCCGAAATATATACACACCACAACTAAAGGAGTTAAAACAGGCGCAGCAGGAAGTCATTCACATTAGACATAATAATAAAACAGTATTTTGCAACACAAACCAAAAAAGAACTTCTCTCCTAACGGTTTTATTCATAAATATACATTTAGTATTTGTATTGACAATGAAACGTGGGGGTTAGGGGTAGAGGGAGATAAGCAAATAGTGCAAATTGAGCTTAATATTAAGGCAAGAGCTGACGAACAACATGACACTAAGTTTCTCTGGTCCCAAATTGATTTTCAGTCTCCACTTCAGTACGCTCCATGTTTCCAGCCTCTATTTGCTCTTGTACTTCAGGCTCCATCTCTTGGTTCAGCTCCATTTCTTCTGGCCTCACGTCGTCCCCCGTCTCGTGCGTGTAATCCATTGTATCGTCTCCCACCATTTCTTCTGACCTCGTGTCGTCCGCTGCCTTGTACGTCTCATCCATTGTATCGTCTCCCTCTTCCTTGTCCTCAGCAATCATTAAAACCTCTTCAGTTTCATTGGATCCCTCTTCTTCTTCCTCCTCCTCCATCACAGGCCACTCTCCATCATCGCTGTCGTCCACCTCCTGCTCTTCTTGGCTGCTCGTCAGTGTGTCAACAGGCAAAGGCTGCCAATAGTCATACAACTTGCCCTACAGGAGGAAAATATAGAATTGTAAATAAGAATGATACAATCTTTTGACTTTATGTTCATATAAGAGTATGTATAAGACTACTGTACATGGAGAGGCCTGGTCCTCTGAAGGAGCATCTGCCACTTGGTGGAGATCCTGGCCACCAGGTCCTTCACCTGCAGGGAGAAGAGCGAGGTGGTCACACATAGAGCACATGCAAGCTTTAACGGTTGGCTTGCATTATTGCATCTGGAAATCAAGTCAGCAATGATTGATCAACTTATCATCAACATTATGATTAATGTCCTATAGTGAGGATATTGTCTTCTATTATAGTAAATTGAATGTTTTGGGGGTTTTGGACTGTTTGTCAAACAATAGCAGCGATCTAAAGACGCCATCTTGTATCTTTTAGACTAAGCAATTAATTGATTAATTAAGAAAATAATCAGCAGATTAATCTATATTAAAAAAATATTTAGTTGCTTCCACAACATCTATTTATGACAACAGTTCATTTTCTGTTTTTGAATTCAAAATATAAAAGAGAAAATGACAGAGACCGTTTTTCAAGCTTTAATTCTTAAACTTTTGATTATTACTGGTGTGTGTGTGTGTGTGTGTTTTGTATTTCAGCATTTGGAAAAAAAAATCTGTTAATAATTAACATACTTATTTGATGTATGTGTTTAATGGCTAACTGCAAACCAAATTTAATTTGGAATGATAACAAAATTGAACTTGAAAGCATTCAGAAAGCGCTGAAGAACCTTTTAAACGGCGTTGTAGAAAATGTAGAAAAATGTTACATCTGGATCACAGTTTTGGAACTCGAACTCACTTTGCTCCGGTAAAGACATTTCTCACTCTCTCTGATGTCACACTTCACGTGCGTTTCCAGCTCAGAGCACAGAGACAGCAGCTGTTTCTGAGAGTCAGAAGAAAAAGGCAACGCACATTAACACACACCTCTCGCAGGCAGATGGATATCACCAGCTTCAGACTTTGATAAATCAGCTGATTAATAACCAGCGCCTGAAAAACTTCAGACCAGAAAAGGGGATTAATTACCTTTTGATGAGCTGGGAAGAACTGATAGTTGGACGCTTCATTTGCTAAGGTCAGAAGGCTGTAGCAGAGGTAGTAGGACTGAGGCACAGAATGAAGGGAAAGAAACTTGCATTAGAAAAAGGTACATGTTTAATGCATTCACAATGTCATTCAGACTACATTTTGTGCTTTCTTACACATAATAGAAAAACAAGACAATTATAAAGTCACTTTAAAGTTCGAGGCATATGCTCACCTGTTGGTCTAAGGTGGTCATGTCTTCTTCCTTGTCTTTCCGACTCCTGCTGGAGGAGCTCATCATGCCTCGGAGGAGCGTGGAGGGTTGCATACGGGGCAGGTAGGGCCTCAGTTCAGAGAGCTAGGCATGGCGGCGTAAGAGAAAGTCATTTAGATAAATGTCCATATTTCAACTGCTGAGGTCTAAAAGAGACTTTTATAGGTTTAGGTTACACACTGAAAGAGATTACCTGAAACTCCTTTTCTGTAGGTCTGTAAGTACAATTTCCGTTTAACAGCTTCGAGATCATGGACAGGCACAGATGTCGACGCAGTTGCCTAGATCAACAAAAGTGAATACTTGTTAATGTGCAATACAATACAATGAATTTTTTATTTTTTTTTTAAATACAGATTGTGTGGGAAAAATGGAGATAAGCAGACCAGAGAAAAACAGGTAAAAGACTTACTTTCCACGTGTGTTGTCGGGCAGCAGTTGAACCAGCAGGCACATGTTGTGGTGGTCATCTGTCAGATCAGTGAGGGCCATACAGATTTTTGGCAGCTGAGAACAGTTTAGAGAAATAAAACAAATTAAATTAAAAAAAAGTGATCGATGATATTATAAATCAAGGTGAACATGGGCCATGCACATTTTGGCCGGTGGATTTTATATGATTTTTTCATGTGAATTTCATGAAAATATATATGAACCATATGAACACCACAAGAATTCCCAGGTACACTTGCTTACAGGAGGAATTTGGCGACTTTCCGATATTATCTTGTGAAAGTGTATTATGATACGATTATATCATGTTATTTTGTAAACTTGCTGCCAAATTAAATGATTCAAAGCAAGCTGTGACTGAAAAAATAAACTCCAAACAGGTATTCAACATTTAAAGAGTTTTGTCTGATGAGTAGCATCACAGTGGCACACAGTGCACTGCATTGTTATTAAATGGGACTCATTTACATGATTTTGCACACATTTGCCATGTAAAAAGGTACGTATTCAGACTTTCAAGGAAGCCGAGTCATGCGTGAACTGACCATGGTGTTCCAGTCCCTGATGTTGTTGACAATTTTGTACTGTAGAGGGTACAGCTCAGTACTGGCCTGGAGGAGGAGCCGAGAGTCCAGGCCCACCTTTCCCATCACAGTTAGCAGCAGCAGCAGCTCGTCGTCGCTGTACACTCGTGGACAGAGGCCCATACAGTAAGACAGGTACTGCAGACGGGAACACGGGACAAACGGCCAAGAAGTGAATGATCTGAATGGAGAACTTGTGCTTTCTCTGCCAAACTCTCCCCCATGCAGACACGACAGCCAACCGTTTGTGTCTGACCTTCAAGATGTTGTTGCAGTTGTGTTCAGGGAAAGTGTTCTGTTCCTTGCTGCTGGAGGGACTCTCACTTTTGATATGAATGTCCTCCCTACACAAACACACAGAAATGTAACAATAAATAAACAGCTTATTTATGAAGGTTTTACACAGGAAACAAGGAAATTAATGAGTAATCTAATGAGCAGGAAAGGAACTTACAGCAAATCCCCCTCAGTGAATGGAGGCTGCAGATTCTCAAAAGGGAAGAGAGTAACGAACGCAACTCCCATATTCATCAGAACCAGCGCCACGTCGGCCAGACTGGGCACCCACACTTTAAACTGCTGGTTTCCAGTTTTAACTGAGGAAGCATACACAGAAAAAAATACATGTTGACATGTCTTAATAATAGTGAGGACATGCAAAATATAAGAAATACCAAAACACTGACCTATCTGATAAGCAGCAGTGCAGGCGATGTCACAGAGAGCCTGTAGTATCTTTTCAGATAGCAGCCTCTCACTATGGACCGACATCATCTGACAGGATCAACAAAGAATCACGACCAAAGTTCAGACATTTGGACGGAAATCACTACCGACATGCTACACGTGTGTGTGTGTGTAGGGCCTACCTTGAATAGGAAACGGGTAACCTGAGTTGGACAGGGTGAGCGACAGTCGTAAGCTTCCTGGAACAATCCAATATTTACATGCAGTCTCAGCTGAGCAGGGCTGGACCTGTAGTGAGAGAGGAGCGAGAAAGATTAGAGGAAATAATTAACTAGCAAAACTAGTGGTCAATGTAGCCTGCAATGGTCACGACATTCCACAGTACAAAGTGTATAAAGTGCTGGATGGGACTAACAACACGCTGAAGATTCATCTCTCCGGCAGTGAGGCTGAAAATCTCATTTGTCCTGAGCCACCAATATCAAATGTCACGGCACTCTAGTCTTGAGTTAATGAGCTGTTGCTCTGAACATGAACACCACTCACCAAAGAAGCGTTTTCTGCACCGTCCCCTGTGGACTGACCATGCATCGCCTGAGCTGCAGCGTATCTTGGTCGAAGATCCGGCCAAATTTCTCCAGGTTGAACACCACTTCTCCTGGAGGCACTTCTCTGATAGCGTTGGACATCAAAGAGTAGCGTTGCAGGAAATCCCTAGAAAAACAAATTAAAAAAAATGTAACAAAGCAGATTAGTGAACTACTGTGTGCCAGTGACATGGTATACTGCATCTGTGTGCTTCTGCATGCTTTACTGTTGTTCAGTGGAGACGCCCTCTTCCCGGTTCTCCTCAGCCTCCTCATACTCCGCTATTCTCAGTAGGTCCTCTTGACACGCAGTTAGAAGCTCAGTCTCAACCTCTTTAGCTCTGATGGATGAAAACAATGTGGAGAAAGTTAACTGCTACTGTAGCTCAAACTAAAAGGTAACGGGAATGACATTTTCTGCATAATTTACCTTTTATTGGTGTTTATTTCCTTCAGCATCTGGTCGAGATTGTTTTTGTAGATGCCTGACTTTGTGGTTGGCAACGGCAGCTGTGGGGAAACACAACCGACAACACTCAACGATTTTACTGGTCGCTCAGCGAGTTGATCGATCATACATCTATAACTTTATGTTCAATAATGACAAGTAATTTCAAGCTTACCGTTTTTGACTGGCAGCTGTGATGTCCGGGTGTGCTCGGCTCTGAGAAGGATCCCTTCTCTGGTGTAGCGGGAGGCTTGGTAACGCGCTCCATCATCTCCTGCAAGGAGAGGAGCTGCTCCTCCTCGCTGCTATGGGAGCTCTGGGTCAGATCCAAATCTAACGCGAAGCTCAGGCCTAGGTCCAGCTCCACATCTATAGGATCCTCTTCAATCACCGGCTTTGCACCACGCCCTTCGCTCGCCCGCCTCTCCAGCAGTGGAGATTGAGAACAGTGAGATGTAGAAGTTGTCTCTAACGCACAGGCTCTCACATCGTTGGGGAGGACAGATGTGCGTTTGTCGTCAGATTTTAAACTCTCATCCTTAAGCTGCCTGCCTGAAGAGGTGACGGGGCTGATTTTGGAGTCTTTTGAGCAAGTGTATTTAAAGCTTTCAAGTTTTACCCGCTCTAAAGCTACAGTTGGCACGGTGACTTGTGAGAGATGTGCCGATAACGAGGAAGAGACTTTGGAGTCCACTGCATGAGAACTAGTTTTGCGACAAGAGGATTCATTAACTGGAGTACTGTAGCTGGATGAAGAGCTGTTCTCTGAGGTGGGGGATTTGATCCCAGCCATCTTGGGCTTTGGAGTCTTATGACCGGGGCTGACGATGTAGGTCATGGGATCGGGGGCGAAAAGATCATCTATATCATCCGGGATTGCAACAGGTCTTCGTGGACGGGCAGTTTTATTCCGTTCCACCATGCGACAACTCACAGAAGTAGCATTTGCCTTTGAGGGCAGTTTGGGAGTGCTACTGTCAGGTTTTCTGCTCTCCTCCATGGGATCCCCTCTGCTCACGGTCTTGACTGGTAAGCCTGAGGTAATGCGGGGAGTGTGAACAGACTCGTGGCTGCCGAAGTGAAGGTGAGGAGAGCCACCAGTGTCCCTCTGGGGAACCTCGAAGGACAACAAACAGCTGGATTTCTCCCTTTTATCATTTTCATTGCTTCTTTTCTTCAAACCGTCTTCACCTGGACTTTTTGAAGGTGATCTTAACTCAATCAACGTCAGAATTTGATTCTGGGTGGAGTTTATATAGGCTTGCTTTGCTCCCATCGCTGGTCGTTTCTTTATACAAGGTTTGAGTGACGGCGTCGCACAGGATGACTGCACGGGTTTCAATGCGGACGACAGTTCCGAGCACGTCGATTGGCCGCATGCTGGTTCTGTGCACAGAAGGCTATTCGTGCGTTTGGGTGACAGTTCCATGACTGAAGAATGCCTCGCTGACGGCTGAGACTGCAGTGAAGTACCGTGTGAGTTGCCAACGGAGTTCATCCCCGAAAGACACAGTTTCTTGGGACTGTCGTCCCGGCCCTCGAACTCCATGTGCCTCTTCTGAGCTGTGCAATTCAAATCCACTACTGGAGACAGAAAAATACAATAAAAATATACTTTCTTTTCTTAGTGTTTACAAATGTCTTTCAATATCAGTGTCTATATGCATTTGATTATGCTAATATTAGATAATTACCCATTTACTGCAATCTCTTACCAAGAGCAATATGTGGCATGTAGAAGTAACAGCTTCTTCTGTAACTACTAGTGGTGTGACGGATCACGGTTCGGATCCCCCCTCACGGGTTCGGATCACTTGTGAACCGCGGATCAATTAAGTATTTTTTTTTTTTTTACAGTTTAATCATCATAGTGTGTAATAAAGTTTTACTGCTGCTGTTCCTAAGTAACAAGTCCCCGAATATCAATGCAAAGTGTCAGTGAACAGATATAAAGCAGCATTGTGTTCACATGAAGTGTTAGAAGCATTTAACGGTGAAAGTCATGACGAGCAGAGGAACTTCAGAAGCCCCTGGCGTCATTTAAGTCGCAAGTTTGGGAGCATTTTGTCTTCCCTGTAACTTATAATGACGAATGAGGGTGGTGAACAAAAGCGTTACGGTATGTAGGCGTTGTTTAAAAAGAAAGACATACGACAACGGCAAAACATCGGGCAAGTCCACACATATGAAGCACCACCATCCTGGTCTGTCAGTGACGGGGGACACTCCGGTGTGGAAAACGAAAGGATTTCAAAATCTGGTGCTGTAGACACGCCCCCTCTGGGAGACTCACACATACAGATGCTGTAGACACGCCCCCTCTGTGAGAGTCGCACATACAGGTGCTGTAGACACACCCCCTCTGTGAGAGTCGCACATACAGGTGCTGTAGACACGCCCCCTCTGTGAGAGTCGCACATACAGGTGCTGTAGACACGCCCCCTCTGTGAGAGTCACACATACACACACCTGGGGCAGGTGCTGACAGAAGCAGCAGAGTGGAAGCTAGACAGGCCCAATAGTAACATCCCAGTCACCACAGGAAGGTCTACCCTCTCCCCAGACAATGTAGATATTCTCATCTTTTTGAAAAATGTTTTAAAGTTGTAGACCATTTCACAGTAATGGTAAACATTATTCCAGTGTATTTGAATGACATAACCTGACAGGAAGTAAACATAGACCCAAGTTGTTGCCGAGCAGTTCAGTTCAGTTGAAACAGTGGATGATAGCTCACTGGCTGTTTCTTTCTTTCAATATTGATCAAAGGACGAGGGTCTCAACATACCTCATGTTGCACTTAAACTTAACAGAATTGAGTATTCTTAAATGTTTTATTTGTATTCATTTATTTCATTTTGTTTCAAATTGGACATGTTCAATATTTTAGTTTTTATGCAAGACAATGTTCTTGTCAAAGTTCTTTGCTTTACGTGTGCTTGAAGTTCTTTAATTAATAAATGGAAAGCAAAGTAATATTTGTCTCCTCCCCTTTTCTTTGCTCATCCGAAAAATGATCCAAACCGTGACTCAAGAACCGTGACTCGAGAACCGTGATCCGAACCGTGATGTTTGTGATCCGTTGCACCCCTAACTACCAAACATTTCAAGCTCTCATTTGTGCTTCCAGGTATTTAGCGCCTTGTAAAGAGTACAAGTAACAGAATGCAGAAAGTAATTCCTAAGAATGGCAGAGAAAACATATCTAGAAATGATAAGGAGAGACGGGAACTTTATGGAAGATGAAAGGTGAACTTTCTTATCAAATTCTAACATCTATAGTCTTACGTTTAGTCTAAAATGTTTAATCCCTTATAGTGGACTGTAGTGAAACATGGTTAAGTAAAAATGAATATCTGCTACTGACAATGTTAATCCCTTTTTAAAAGCATGCCAAACCAGTTGACATTCCCAGTGCTATCGATCGTCAATCTCAAGCAAAGTGAATTGACATTACATACAGGTCCATGACATTTACAAACTCAACACCTGATGCCTGCTGTCACTGCAACGCCAACAAGAAAACATGCCAACAAGATAACATGCCAACAAGAAAACATGCCAACAAGAAAACATGCCAACAAGGCTAAAGATCGCAGCTTTAGGAGTAAGAAGGGGAAAAAAAACAACATTACCTGGAATTGAGTTTTCACTTGAAGGTGTTCGTTTCTGTTGTTGGTCCTAAAAAAAAAAGAAAGAAAAACAGCAATAATAAGCATCACATTCTATCAAAAGACTAAGCAACATCCGGGTCAGGTGTTGAATAATTTAAAAATTGAATTTAAAGTTAAATAAATATTAGCACACTGACTTGCTCAAATTCTGGCAGATGTTCTTTAACTTATCAAAGCCATATCACCTGAATCTTTGTTTACAAAGGCTGAGAAAAAACACACCATGCTCTGCCCGAGTGAACATCATTTTGGCCCCTCAAGCCTGGCTTGAGACCGGGCTTTTTGAGTAATGAACAGCTCAAAGTCTATTATTAAAAACCCTAAACTAGATCAAACTAATGACAAATGTTACCTGGCAAGGGGCTCCAGGGATGTGCATGACAGGTAAACTGGAAGCACTACACCTGTCAGACGAGTGGGTACTGGGAGAAGGCTGGTAGCCCCATGAGGACCACTGGCTGTTTCCAGGGCTCCAATGGTCTGAGTCTGAGAGGGGCCCTGGGTAAGCTTCTTGAACACTTCTGGTGTGAAATGTCGGGGTCATGGGGGGCCTGTGGAGCTGGATAGTCTGTATGGAACCCCTCACATCGCTGGATTGATCCTAACAAAGTAAATAGTAATAGACAACAATTCAGAATCACTTGAAGGCTATTCTGCAGTTCAAGTTACTATTTGAACAAATCCTGTTTTCACTAATGACGTAAAAAAATACCTTGCTTGACACTTGTCTTTGAGGCATTACATGTTTACTTCCCGAGTAAGACAAAGTGAGTTTGGATTCAGTCTCTTGATCTCTCCTGATGTGGGAAGATGGAGAGTGGTTACTTAAATCCTTCATGAATTGAGGAGATGCAGGGTGAAAGGTACCGGGAGGCGGGGGCTGTGGCCTACTAGCTGTAGTACCACTGTTAGTCGGGCTGACTGGAACAGACCTGGGTGAGCAGAGAGACCCCGGAGGGTGATAGTGTTGGTGCTGCTGAGGACCCAGTCTGCCCGCTGCCAGGGGATGGGACCTATTCACTGGGGAACCAATGTTAGTCGGGCTGCTTGGAACAAACCCTGGAGAATGGATTGGTCCCGTAGGATTAAGACGGAGCTGTGGTGGAAGAGGGTACCGTGGTGGAGGAGGGTACCGTGGTGGAGGAGGGGGCTGTGGTGGAAGAGGGAGCTGTGGTGGAGGAGGGTACCGTGGTGGAGGAGGGAGCCGTGGTGGAAGAGGGAGATGTGGTGGAAGAGGGAGATGTGGTGGAAGTAGGTGCCGTGGTGGAAGTAGGTGCCGTGGTGGAAGAGGGTGCCGTGGTGGAAGAGGGTGCCGTGGTGGGCCTAGTGTGTCCCTTAGGCACACCTCAGGGCTATGAAGTGGCAACATTCTCCTGGGAGGTGGGTGAGAAAGCCACTTAGGGAGCTGAGAGGGTTTCATTGGAGTCTCCTGGAGAAGTGACGTGAAATGGGCCCGGGAGCTCTGCTGGAATACGAGGTTGTTCACTAGAACACAAGAGAAATATTTGTGCATTATGATCTTACGTCTAAAATATTTGGTGCCTCAAAATGCTCAAGAATGTACAGGTTGACATTTCATGCATCAGATAGATGACATTTTTCAGTTCTTCTCCTTGCATTATTTGAGGAGAACCATTTCCATCACTTCTTTCCACTATATGCTCTCATAACTAATAAATACTCAGGCATAATTATGTTATGAATGTGCTCCAAGAGGAAGGCAATGGACAAATAACCTGTCTTACATAGAGCTTCATGTTGTTTCATTCACTGTCTAGATTTCACATTGATAGCACACCGAAATAAGATTTACCTCCTGTAAATGCGGTTTCTATTTTTAATCAAGGAAGCATTCAATTGATTACATTGTTGTTGTTCATTGTTACCAAATTAGGTTGCTGCAAGTGTAACTATTTATTTCAATAAATCAACTAAAAACAGGATTTTACCAGCTAACAAACCTTTTTGTTTATTACCCTAAGGGGAGAAAAGGGTCTGAAGATACAGATATGTTATTACTTATTAAGTTTAAAAAAGGTTCAAAGTAACTTCTCCACCACCACCAAAGCTCTACTGGAGTCTACAGATGAGTACACGATTAGTAACAATAAAACACATCACATCATAACCATAACTGCCCTGCTCATAGGTTATGTTCTTAGGATTTATAGCAAGGGTGTTGTATTATACAACAGTAATACAACACCTTTAAAAAAAACAAAAACAATTTTGATTAAATAAAGTTAAAATGCACCATGAAAAGTTAAGGCAAGCGTCACGGTGTAAATGTAGCTAAATACATTGCTATTTTACTAGACAGCAGCACTGGACGAAGTTAGTGTTGTCACCAAGGCGACAATAACGCTAAACTTAGAAGTGCGGCTTTCAAAATAAAAGAGATATAGAAGTGTTGCATAAACGACACACCCAGCACGACACCGACCACTGCCACAGCTAACACAAGGAAGACACCTGCTCGTCAGTTCCTACCAATCACCTGCAGCTACGTTTGTAACAGCACGAGTGCATCAGTGGGTTAACTCGTGTCTATAAATTCATGATCAACACTAACGTTACCACTTGAATATCTGAAATATAATCAAATGCTCACAAAGTAACACAAGACAACATGTTAGTACGGTAGTGCTTATGCTAGCAACTAGTAAAAAAGTAACGTTGGCTAACGCTAGCAAGGTAACTGACATGAAGAGCGTGTTTACAATTTGTTAGCTATGTGACCGCCAAGTGCTTACATAACGCTCGGCTTGCTGCCAAAGCAAACAGTAACAACCATCCATACTTACAGTAGCTAACGTTACGTCAGCATACATACATCTTATCCACAGTGCCTGGCTCATAGAATAACATTGAATATTAGCAAGTCGTTGTTTCAGGAAGTGCTCTGTTTAGCTAGCGTTAGCTGGCCAACGTGCTTTCGCCTAGAATTGCAAACAACGTCTTTGGGTTTGCTCACCGAGTGTTTCTTTGATTTTCTGTTGCTCTTCTCATTTTGAGAGCTTAGTCCGACTGTCTTTAAGAACAGACTCACAGCGCCAATGTTAAAATCATCTCAACAATATGAACGTCTCCCGCCTGCAGCCGACTCGACCAACGTTCCGCGAATTGCATTGTGGAACTTGGAGTTCAGCAGTATTCTGTGTTAAAGGATGTACTGAGGTTTAACATTCCCACAGAATTTTTTTTTGCTGATTAAATGTTTGATTAAAAACTAATTATATATATGTTTTTGTTGCAAGACTTTTGGTACGCTTTTCTTTCAAAATTATTAATTCACAATTTGAATATCACTATAATCACACTGTTGATATAAAGGTAAGTGAGATTGGCCCCCAAAAAGTGAACTGATCAGCTTAGAAAAACCGGCTGAAACTTGGTCAGTAAGTAAATATGAGTCATGGCAAGTTAATAGTTGACCACAAGCTAGACTTGATTTTCGCATAAAACTCAAATCGATGTGTGGAAAAAAAAAAACACCCATATATCTATGTCCAGCAAGACAAGGAGACACATCAGCATTGGATTTGTAAATGTATTACCACCAAAGATTTCAGATACATACAACCAACACAGAGGGAATTACATTTGGAAAAGAAAAATACTGTAGCACATATTAGGACTTTTCAAATGAAATCCTATCAGACGGTTTTTCAAAAACCACCACTGCTTCCTCATCAGGCAGTAAGGGCAGCTGTAGGCATTTACTGTAGGAATAAGAGCTGCAGGCACATAAATACTACAACACCAAGAAGCGAAGACAGACCAAAGGCAGCCAAACAGAGTAACAAAAATAATGTTTAAATTAAAACTCTCATCTTCTGGTAATCGTGCCTCACAATGGTACTGTGAAACTGGGAAGGCTATAATCCAAATAATGGATTTATCCCCTATACAGTGCAATGCAGTATTTGGCACCATTTAAATTAGACTTAACTTGATGAAACACTAAAAGAAAAACACAAATTTTCACACTCAACAAAGACACAACAACATACAAGGACGCGGCACAAATACGATTCATACACAGAGACAATAAGAGAAAAGGACTGTTTAGTTGTCCCAACTGTCCCATCCGGCTCTCAAGAGATTGGGAACTTATTATCAATGGAATGCACCAATGAATTGCTTTAAAAAGTGATAAAGAAATTAAGTTGTCCATCTTTAGCATCAGTCCCTTTCAGAAAAAAAAAAAAAAAGGTCTCATAAAGTCTTCTTTAATTTATAATAGAATACAATATCCGGTCCAATAAATAATAATGTTGTCCTGGGCAGCTAATGATGAAGACAGTATGATCAGACACACATTGGTACAACTTCCTCACTACCATCAAAAACAGTATCTCATAGAGATATTCAGTTTAAGCATGAGCAAACCAAATACATTTTGAATATTAAAAAGGCTTTTACTTAAATATTCAAGTACACAGATAAGAAACTGCCTTTGTCAGCAATGCTATCAATTTCAGTTGAACGCTATACCTCCTTGACTGTTAAAGGCACAGTACAGGAACTGATTTATTCTACAGCAGTGCATGGAAATGTGGCAGCCGATAGCTCCCATAAACTTTGCTGCATTTATGACAAATATATACTCATCAACATCAGAAAAGAGAGTACGATAGTTTTGCTTTTTTTGTGTTTTTCTCATGTAGCAATGTGGGACTACAAACTGCATTTCCTTGCACAACCCTGTGTTGTACAATGACAATAAATGAAACCTTAAACTCTGAACCTTAAAAAGGTTGTCACATTAATTGGCAATTTTAGCAAAACAATATTTACAATCTCTTGAGAGCTGTGTCTCCCCTGACCCTAATATGTCATGATCATTCAACATCTACTACCCCTGCACTGTGCAAGAAGAGTGAGGTTGCCTTTGACAACAATCTACAGTTTACTCATCATGTACTACAATCAAGAATAAGTGAGGATTTAGCAAAAACCCTGAACTGCGGTCAGTTGTTGAGGACAAACTACTCTGTCATACACAAAGAGGGCTTTTCTGCGCCTTTACTTCTTGGCCTTTCCTTGAGCAGCAACGGCCTCCATGGCTTTGCGTACAGTCTCCTCATCTCCCAGGAACTGCATCGGCTTCACGGGCTTCAGGTTCTTGTCGAGCTCGTAGAGGATGGGGATGCCCGTTGGCAGGTTCAGCTCCATGATGGCTTCGTCTGACATTCCTACAGGTGACAGCACATACAAACAGAACAGTTACGTACAGAAGTTAGTGAATCTACAGGTTGTTGTTTTTCATTATAAATGTGTAGTCACTCTATAACTATTCTCACCTTACCTTGAGACTGTTGACAACATACAGTCGGATCATTGTGATAGAATTTAATTAAACTACATTTCGACAAACAACTTGAATTTCCTTATTGCTTGTGGTGAATTTCTCATAATGCCACCCACCCTCCAGGTGCTTAACAATCCCCCTCAGACTGTTTCCATGGGCAGCGATGAGCACCCTCTTTCCCTTTTTGATCTGAGGGGCGATCTCCTCGTTCCAGAAGGGCAGCGCCCGTGCGATGGTGTCCTTCAGGCTCTCGCAGGAAGGAAGCTGGTCCTCAGTCAGGTCTGCGTAGCGACGATCCTGCAGGGAAGACAATCTCAGTTTGTAAAAATATATAATAGACCAGAATAGAGACATTAAAAAAGTACTTTCATGCGTCTTTCACTCTTTTCCATCAAGACTTATAGCCTAAATGCCTTGAATATAAGTTTCACTCTTCAATCAATATGGTGACGTGTTCACTGTCATTTGCAGGCATGAAAGAATCAGCTATGACACTCTTCTTATAACACCATCAAGATGTTGCTGATCACTTAGTTTCTCCAGCCAGCATAGGGTTACTGCATCTTGACTTCTGAATACCTCTGCAGAGTTCTGATCAATTTGTGAACTTTGAACTTGCACCTAGCAGACATCATTTGTCCCGGTCATATATTAACCCACCTACGACAGACTATTGGGTGACAACATCAGGGCACATGCTGCCAAACGGTTAGGGACTCTATCTCCGCTGTGTAGTACGGCTGTCCTGTACATCTGTTGTATGTGTAAAACTATTGATATTCAAGCTGACTGTGCTGTGGACAAAAATACCTTAAATCTACTATTTTCACTCCAAACACTCGGGTTGTTTCTGCTGATTTCATTCATTCATGGTGACACAGCTGGTTATAGGGCCTGACAGCAGAGAGTTATAGTCAGGCCTCTTCTTTGTTATGCCTGTGTGCAGCTAGTTTAGTCAATGTGTACAAGACCATTTCTTTCCAACAGAGCTCTTGGTTGTTTGTACGTGCTGTAGATATCATGTCTTACCTTGCTGATGATACTGTAGTAGTCATGGTCTGGGCCCATGGGAGGAGGTGGGGTATCAAACGAGCGCCTCCAGATCTTCACCTGAGCCTCTCCGTGCTTGGCGGCCGTCTCTGCCTTGTTTAGCCCAGTCAGGCCTCCGTAGTGGCGCTCATTGAGCCGCCAGGTCCGATGCACTGGCACCCACATCTGGTCAATGCCGTCCAGGACCAGCCACAGTGTCCTGGTGGCTCGCTTCAGCACGGAGGTGTAGCAAATGTCAAACTCAAAGCTGGCATCTGTAAGTTTCAGAGAGGGAGAGACACTGAAGTTTAATGCAACCACTTGGAAACTGTGACTGCCCCCCCCCCACATACCTTCTGAGAATAACAAGTATGCACTTGTTGCATAAAACATAACTTACAAATGATACTATGCAGAGAGTTAAAAAGAAACAACGCAGTCTCAAGCCTAACTGAAAATACAAGGTGTTACATGACTACATTTAGTGCTGTTTACATTATTATTTAATCCACAAATGACTTTCTCACCATTTAGTCTACTGGATGTTACATCACACCGGAGAAGCTCGAACCAGAACATGTTTTGCATTTTTCCTGTTTATCGACTAATTGATTAATCAACTAATGGTTGCAGGCAGCTTTAACTGCATTGCAGTCTGGTGTAATGAGACAGAGTAGTGGACTTTATGTCTCTTCTGTGATGTCTTCCTGTTCTCCTGCTGAAAAAATAGCAAGTCAGCTGCAAGATTTTCATTTCAGAAAAGTATTTGAAAAATTTGACTGCAATTGTGCACATTGTTTTGCCTTCCAAAGTATTGTATTTATCATTCTCTGCAGGCTGTTTTAGGGTCAAACGACCAAGAGGACCATTAAAAAGGATCCTATTTTTTTAATGAGGAATTCTACTTTCTCTCTCTGCTCTTTGGCCCTGTAACAGCACTGCACCGGAGCAGCTTCATGAAAGGCATCACTTCTGCACGTCTGCACATCTTCTCCGTATTCCCGACACGCTCAGCGGTCGACGGTCTGATGCAGAGGCCGTTATGTAATCGGAGCCTCGCAGTGCAGCCCTACAGTATTACAGAGACAGTACAGAGGAGGATGATGATGATGGGAGCAGACGGGATCAGTTCTTCCTCACCTTTCAGGGCCTGTCCACCTCTCTTCGCCTCCTTCTCCCCGGTCTCACTGAGATCCGCATCGAACCAGCCGCAGAACCGATTCTCCTGGTTCCAGCTGCTCTCTCCGTGGCGGATCAACACTAACTTGTAGGCAGCCATGATCGAAGATGATATGCCCAAATGACAGTCAACTGCTTTTAGGAACGGATGCAGAGGATGTTAAATTGACAACTCTCCACTCAAGAGAAGACGATGGGTCTACTCGTTAGCTGTCAGACCGGCGAGGACTTCTCTTGTATCCGTTGGATTGGTTACTCACCCACTTTCTGGTTTTCACATCCAATGAGATTCCGCTAAAGTAGATGACGTTCATTTCTTGACCAATGACAGCGGTGGGCGTCAGCGGACTGTTCCCTGACCTTCATACTGTACATTGCACCTTATTGACTTTCATTGTGTTTCTCTATTACCACCACATCTATCTATCTATCTATCTATCTATCTATCTATCTATCTATCTATCTGTCTGAGTTTCTAAGTTTGTTGGAAACTTACATCAAAGCTGAAATAAAGCAATATGCGGATAAGGTATTTTAAAGACCAGTTGAACCAATTGTTGCTTTTCCTCCTTTTCATCTGTAGGGGGGGACCTTGGCCTGTAAAACATTGAACTATACTGCTGTAGTTACTGGAGCCCAGACATGATCATAAGCTTAAAACACCATTACAAATGAGCGTCAGTCAAGTAATGCATTTGTAGAGATGTACTTACGAAATAAAGATTTGAGGCGAAACAGTAAATGTGAAATAAGAACTAGGGGGAGATATTAGAGATTGGGAGGTGCGTGACGTGATAAATACAAGATCACAGAGCAATAAAGATCCAAGTTTAAGCAGATATCAGTGATGAAAGGAAAGCGCAGTACTCTCTTTGTGGAGTAGCTTTTATTGAAGGAGATGCTGCATTTGCATTACATATTGACAAACAAAACCTCTGTCCCCAGCCATCTCATGATAGTTAACCACTGACTGTATGATGTCAACATTTTATTCTGTTATATCAATGTCTGGATATGTCATTTGCACAATAATGAGCCTCCTTTTTTATATATGGGATTTTCTAATTACCTTTAGATCACGTTTTTCCTACATTTCTTCTTCTAGATATGGAACATTGTTATTTTGACATTATTTTGCCGTTGCTACAGAACTACTCTGCATTATTCTGACAATGCAGTGTAAGAAAACCAATCTACTAAGTAATGCAATGCTTAGAAGCCTGAGACATATCAGCTAATGTTATGACCAGAATGAATTAAGGGGAAATATGCTTTTAAATTGGCTGTTTTTCCTCACAACTGCAGTGTGGCGTAACAGAGATAATTTGGGCTTCTCTGAGAAAGGTGGTGCTGGGAAACAGTCGCCATGTGAGCTATTATCAGGAACTCTATAATCCGCACTTGAAAGGAATGTTTGTTTTACTTCACAGAGCGCGTCGGTTGACGCCGTTCTAAAGATGCAGTGTTCGTAAAGAACTTTCCCTTTTGGGAGTGTCTCATCTCGGATTTCACTTCTAACTCCTTCTTTAACATTATATTTTAGCGAGGCAAAAATTGACAGGTGATGAATGACAAAAGTGTTGTCAGATGTCAGATTACCTCCCTCTCTCTCTCTAACTTTTGTCGGACTCATTCACTCTGTGAAGCACTCTCAACAACATGGCAGAATGAAGGAAGCAGCTGTATTTTCAAGGCTCTATAAATAGCTATCATCATTTCCCACCACTGGCTGCCATTGCCCTCACGCAGCATATGAACACTGTGCCCATTCAGAAGTATTGTGTGGGCAAAAGCTGCTGTAACAGATGTGGAATCAGTAATCCCAATCACCATGTCAGGAAACTACAAACCAGAGAGTCTCAGAGGCAAACTACACGGCCTGGAACACTGTGCCCATTCATGCCATACACAGACAGGAAATGTCAATCTCTGTGTCGATTCCTGCACGAACCTTTATGTAAGGACACTTTTGGCACATCACGACTTGCTTTTTCTCTGTTCATTCACTTGTTCTGTCAGTCAGTCTCCATCTGTTTTCCCATCTTTCCCTCTCCTCTGCAGTGGAATGTGCATCTCAGTATCTGATGAAAGAGTGGTTAACAGGGCGCTGCTGTGTGCATGTGTCTGTGTTTTCATCTTTCATGTGCGTACATGTATAGCCTCCCAAATGAGACAGGAGACAAGGTCTGTCAGCTGGGGGGGAAAAAAAGAGGCAGACACACTGGGATTGGATAAAGCGCTTCCACTGGGAATTAACCTCCCAGAATTTAGGTAAACTGTGTAACACCAGGCTCGGGTCTGTGAGAAAGTCTGGTCTGTGCGCAGTGAAAAAAAGTGTGGGTTATAGTGTTGGTATTCTTTGACTATTAACATTTCCTCTTGAATAATGCTGAGCATACACAAAATGTTGAAAGGATAGGTTCACAGTTTTTGTAGTCAGTCTTAAAACAATTCTGATTGCTTGGGTTTTTGCTGTAACGGTTTCTCGTGTGTACTGGCTGTGGAGAGATTCCCTCCTAGAGTTATTTCATTGTAAGAGATTTGGGACAAAAGCCACAGTCCTTGTGTGAAAAAGTACTTCCTCAGTTCATCTGGAACTCGTGATTCTTCATCAGTTACTCAAATCAAGCTGGTATCTTCCCCCTTGTTTCTCCAGACAGTGTTTCATTGCTGAGCTTCAGTGGAGCTACAGAGGAAGTCTTGCACACTTTGGAAAGCACCCACTTAATTTAACTAACTCAGACTGCTTAAGCCTCGTAATAGCTTTGGTTTAAAAGAAAACATTTTCGCAAACAAGGACTGTGGATTTTGTCCCCATCACTTACATTTGAATCATTTTAAGAATATATCTCGACTTCTTTTTTTGTTTTGTGAATATTTGGACGTTTACATGTGCACGTTGTTTATGACAGAATCAAATTAATTCTTCTTATAATAATAATAAATCTGGAAGCAACCGATCAACCAACACATCGTGTTCTGTACACCACTATGCTGGGAGGCAAGTACTGAGAAGAATATGCTTTTTTAATTGCAAGTTTTTCTGAATCGTTGCTGAGAGGGATAAAACACATTCCTACCATTTCTCTATACCTCCCCAGTGATTTATTGACATTCAGTCATGTCATTGTTATCCATTTTCACATCAGAACTCTTTAAGACAACGCTTTTTGATTTCCTGGCAGCAGTGAATTGACATCAGTCCACGGCAACAGTGTGCACGTTGCTGTGCCTTCAGGGAGGCAAGAGGAACCATTGAGAGGGGTTATGATGGCTCTATTGGACGGTTGGTCGCTTGCAGACCGGTGGGAGAGCGCATACAGGAAATGTCTCTTTGGTTGAGTTGCCAAAAAAAATATCACACAGTTGGCACTCCAGTGAAGCGCCATGGCTCTATATGTCCTTATACCAAGTTGTCTGGGCTGTCTTTGCTCTCTGTGTAGCCGGAAACACAAACAACAACCTCAGCCGTGTGGTGCCCACACTCTTCTGATGTCAGGAGGTAACAAAGGAGGATTCCAAATTCAAGTTTTTTACCTGTGATTGTAGAGGTTTCTTATTTGGAGATGGATGTGATGTTTGAGGATTAGATGCGAAATGGGCCCATGCATGAAAATGACAAATGTGAACAGATGTGACATCTATAAACTGAGGGCTTCGTAATAATACAGAGCCTGTTAATGTGGTAGGCTGAAAAAGACTTTCAGGGTAAATGTGGAGAATCCTTTTCTGGCCTTAATTGTCAGCATACGCTAAACTTGAGTCATCCAAAACTTCAATGATTCGCCATGGTTACTTTCAATATCAAACAAACTGAATCACTGGATTCAGTGCTTTGTTCATGCAGCACACTGCTGTTGTGTACGGACTCCATTTGGTTGTATACAGCAGTGTGTTTCCACAGGCGCTGACACGTGGACAGGACAACTCTTCTGTGGAAGTCTCAGAGGGGGAGAGGGTGGGTGGTGTGTGTGTGTGTGTGGGGGGGGGGGGGGGGGCTCTTTTCCTCCTTTAGAAGTGCTAGATTTATATCCTGCAGCTGGTTAACATTAACCCTTCCACTTCTGTATTCGTGGCCACCTTGCACTCAACACACGCACTGTATTGTTGTTGTTGCCATTGCGTAGAAAGGCCGGTGCCACAGGGATGACATACTTTACAGTTGTTCATGGAAGTACCGACTGAATAAAATACCCAAATGAAATACTATGACACAAAGAATTTTAACGTTTCACTGATTGCAGTTTGAGTTGTCTCCGTCTTTATATGGTCACTTTGCCTCTAAAATCTAAGCACTAAATAAGTCAAGGATATGTATATGAATCAGATAACAGCAGATATTCTCGGCAAGGAATACAAAGATATTTCTCGCCTCTTTTTCTTTCATTATTGTATTGTAAAACTGCTGTTATTATAATCGAATCTCTGCATTTGTGTTGCCTTTGTTTTGAATCTTGATTGTGAATCTGGAGCTGTGACATAGCAACATTTGATCTCTGATGCTCCTTTCCAAAAATAACTCACCTCATTCTTGAGGCGTACAAGGGGAAAGCGTAAGGCCCCTAAAGGAAAAGCGTGTGTTTATGTGTGAGTAATCTGCAGCTTTTTTTCACTACATACGTACATGCCCCATGCCAGCAACAGCAAGTGTACAATGCATAAACACAAATCTGTCAGAGAACTACAAAACTGCTATACTGACTTTGGCTTTGGGTGCTGTTTAATCAACTTGTCTGCAGCATGTTTTCAAGAACGGTGTGCCGACAGGAATGAACGAGACGTTGAATCATCTCAACTGCTTGGCTTCATTTTGATTGGCTGAACGTCAGCCCACCTCCAGAACCCCAACAGACTGTTCCGGTAAGAACAAGCCTCTTCCCAGATTATTGCACAAACACGCACACAGTAGGATAACTCTCATGCAACACACTCACATTCTCTCTAACGCACAGCACATTGTCAGTGACTCTCCCATCTTCTGCGAGAGAAACAGATACATCTAGGGATCTACGTATGTCTTTCATGTGGTCAAGTGGCACAGCATATAAATGATCCCTGCCTGTTGGCCAAGGCTTTTATCTCCCAACAGAAAGTTCCAGACGGCCTCCGTGACTAGTCCCTCTAAATCTGTGTTTCGTTTGAGAAAAAGCCTCCAAAAGCACAGTTCAAGCGGCCCGGTTCTTTCTCCAAATTGAACTCCAAGTACTCAAACAAAACAAGCAGGTTGTATAAACACTTATATATATATATGATATTGCAATATCATCATAACCAAAGAAACATATCACAGGCTCACACTTACTGATCTTTATTCTTTGGCTTTATAATGAAAACTTAAGGAATATTTTTGTTCAGCATACACATTATAGCACCAATTACACCCATCATGTTGGGTTGTTGCTGTCACAACCTTGTTGAGTATACAGCATTCTGACAGAAGGCACTGATAAAACGGTTTGCAACGTTCGAGTCAGACAAAATAAAAACAGAGCTGGTCGAAAGGAGACCCACAAGTGTTTTAGTCCGTCATGCTTCAGTATAGTTTTGCTGTCATAAAAAATATGTAAACACATAAAAATATATACTTTAAAAAAAGGTAAGTATCCCTTGTGAAAAAAAGAAATCCTATGAGAGGTTTTAGAAGGACAGTTACTCAGTATACTGACACAAATCTATACGTGTATGTTAAGGCCATTGTATTGTAAACACTGAATATACTTCCCCACTATAATATGCACTTACAGGGAAATTATAATGATTCTTTATGAGGGAAAATGACATTAAATTACTGGGATAAAAATGCAAGAGGTGGAGGAATGGTGACCTGTGCCTTAATAAAAAGGTACAATGCTCAGGTCCCCCTAACACATTTCCAATCAGACTCCAATGCTGGGTGGCCTTTGTGCCAGGAGCTGCTTGGGTATTTTCATGTCAGCAACAGGACTGAGTGATTTTTGGATGTTTGTTTGGCTTCACCAACAAAGTGGAAAGCTTGAAGTGGAGAGACAATAGAGACACACCTGTGATTAGAGTAGCCGTTGAGTTAAATTACAGTGAAGTGAACTATTCCTCATCTTGCTGTGGATACCCCCCTGGAAGAACCCCCCCCCCCTTCAGTCTCATCAGATGACCGTCTGCTCTCCCCGACACTTCCTGCACGCTCCATAAATAACCGCCGCCAGGTAAGCCAGGCAGCACAGGCAGGCGAACACGGCGGCCGTCAGGTAGACCTTGTACAGGCAGAGGTGCTTGTACAGATCCAAGTTGCAGTACGAGTTGCGATCCGTCTTGTAGATCATGACACCTACGGCCGGCAGGTAGAGCACAGCGGCGGCCACGTCGTGCGCCAGGTTGGTGGACAACCAGCGCTCCCCTCCCAGCAGCGGGACCAGGTCCTGCTTGTCCAGCAGGGTGAGGAAGAAAAGAGCGAGGGTGAGGAGCCAGAAGAGCACTGCGACGAACAGGACGAAGTGGATGGATCCTTCGTATTTGTTGGCGGCGATGGTGACCCACAGTCCGGCTCCGAACACAATCTGCAGGATCCGGATAAGTCCCAAAAAACTCTTGAGGAACTTCAGGATATTGTTCCTCACCTGCGGCTGGGAAGGTTGGGGTGCCATCTCTCTCCTCCTCCGGTCACTCTCGGTCCCTTTTTCCCGAACAGGGCGGGTGCTCTCTGCCAGCTGCAAACAGCTGGGGGAAAAGATGCACTAAAAGTGGGAATGACGGGGTGAAAGGCCGGTTCTTTTGGTCTGGCTATGAAGCCAGAAGTGGACAAGTTTAGGTATAAAAAAGGAACTCTCTGTTCCTTCCACAGCCCTGGGGTTTTGAAATGAAAAACCGTCTTGTATGTTTCGTCTTTTCCGTTTCCTCTGTTCAATGTAACGTCTGTGTTTGGGGG